GTAGGGGATGATGCATTCGGCTGCTAGACACAAGTTCAGCAGTTCAAAATCACAAGCAGTTCCACAGGAGATAGATGAGGCTGCCTGTTCCTGTAAAGATTTATAGTTTGGGAAACCCATAGGAACAGTTCTATTCTGCTCTGTCCTATGGGTTGCTATGAGTTAGAGTCTACTCATTGGCAGTAGGACTTTTAAATGACTGGGTCAGAACATGTAAATATGGTGTAGAGGACTCTACCTTAGAAATTAGACAGTTTTGCTCTTTGGCTAGGTATCAAAGTAAACCATCTCAGACGCAGGAAGAGAGAAATCCCACAGCCACCAAGAGAAAGATCCGCCAGCGGAAGGTGTGTGAGATCCCTCCCTGAAGTGGTAGAGGCAGCAGCGGCACCAGGGACTTTGAGTGCCCTCAGACAGGAGCTGGATTGCAAAGTAGGGTGCCCCTTGGACACATCAACGCTAGTTAAGGAGCTTTGTAACACTTGCCCAAGTCGGGTTCAGTCTTCTTTGTGTAGCCAGAGAAGGTTACCCTCACGCCATTGACCCGTGACCCTGTACAGGGTTTCCAAGACTGAATGTTTGCATGCATGGATTTGAACTTCGCAACCTTGGGCCTCCTTTGTTGCCACTGGAGGCTGACAAGTTGTTTATTTTCTTTTTCTTTTTTTAAATCATTTTATTGGGGGCTCGTACAACTCTTATCACAATCCATACATCCATACATCCATACATCCATTGTGGCGAGCACATTTGTACATTTGTTGCCATCATCATTCTCAAAACATTTGCTTTCTACTTGAGCTCTTGGTGTCAGCTCCTCATTTTTCCCCTCCCTCCCCATTCCCCCCAAACAAGTTGTTTCTGCCATAGTTACCAAGCTAACTCCAACTGTTCCAAAGGGGGGGAGGAAAGATACAAACAATACTCCCAACTTCGAACCCCAACCCCAGGAGAAATGAAAATTGAGGCTATTGTCTTTACTATCTTTAGGGAGTCAAAAGTATTTCATTTTTTCTGCTAAAATCAAGTGCAGCTCTATGTATACCAAAATGCGTCTTAGTTTATATTTGGAAAATGTATCGCTATAGTATGATATAATGTGTCTTGTCTTTGCAAGGAGCACAGTGGCTATGAGTGCATCTGCTAACAGAAAGGTCAGTGTTTCAAGCCCACCAGCTGCTCCTTGGGAGGAAGATGTGGCCGTCTTCTTCCAAAAGGTTACAGCCACAATCACATCGCAGCCATGCGACAGTTCTGCTCAGTCCTACAGAGTCACTGTGAATCGAAATCACCTTACTAGCAGTGGGTGGAGTTATAGTCTATTTGTAGAATCTATAGGTAGGCTGGAAGATGTCATCTTCTTTTAAAAAAGAAGTATGAGAATTTGCTGTAGTTGTGGGGAATCTAAACCTAAAGCAAAGGAGGGAAGGTGAAAATGTTGCATGAAGGAAGAGAGTCGAGCAAAGCCTTTGTGGCTCTTCATGAAGAAGGCGAATCTGTCTTTGCTGGAAAAGAAGTAGTAACTGTGGCCATGGGCACAGGATTTCCCCAAAGCCGTGTGTTTATGTCGATCAGAAAATCAGTACAAGGGTATGTGTAGAGAGAGAGAGAAGCAGGGGTATATAGATTAGTAATGTGCGACTTGGTCCAGATGTCTTTGAAACGGTTTAGTTCAAATAAAATTTTATTTCATTCATATAAGTTACTTCCTAAAAAATCTCCTCTGAAAGTATCTGCCTGTCCCACTGCTGTAGCATTGGGGCTGACCTTTATGTGTCCAGGATGGTAAATCTCTGTGGAAGCAGACAGCTTCATCTTTCTCCCGCACATCTGCCAGGCTGCCACTTAACCCGCCAAAGACTAGCATCGTCCGAGGAGACGGGTGAAAGCAAACTAGTAAGCTCTCGTGTGCAGACGCTGCTGTTCCTCCTGCTTCTCTACCCTGCTGACGTGAGCTTAGTCACACGGCTTGCGTTGGCCAGTGAATTGTGAGCAGAAGTAACAAGCAGACATTGCTTCTGCCAAATGCTTCTAGCTCAGACTTTTCTGTGTTCTTTTTTGTCATCTGCCAAGAGACCGGCAAAGAGAAAAGCGGCTCTTCTGTCGGCTCAGGCCAGGATGAGCATGCACCATCAGTGAAAGAGAACAGTGAATTCCCCGTTGTCAAACAGTGGTTATTCATCAAGGGTGCCTCCTCCCCCTGGCCCCACCCCCCACGGACATTTGACGATGTCTGGGGACAATTTTGGTTGTCACAGCTGTTGGAGTACAACTGACGTCCAGTGGGTAGAGGCCAATTTCTGCAGTTGTTTGTTAGCTACTGTATAACCTAGCCTACTCTGACTAACAAGGCAATTACCACCTTAATTGGATAATGGTAAATGCGGAAATAGTTGGGTATAGCCAGTTAGACCAAAAAAACAGTGACATAAGATTGTGCAAGAGAAGGTCCCACCACAACTGTTACTGTGTACTTGCAAATAATCCTAGCGAACGAAAGCCAGACAGGAAGGATTAAAGGCCGTGTCTTACAGCAAATTCTCCAGGGAGTTCAAATATGTGTTTGTTAAGGCAAGTTGTAATTCAAAGATAAAGTGTGCATATTTTGCACTCCTCTAAAAATAGCATCGGGGAAACTTGGCCCTCAACCTAATTTAGGCCAAAATCCAAAGTGTATTTGCTTGTTCATATTAGTTGTTTCAGGAATCAGACCAAGCAAGAAGTAGATCTCTTGTTTGACGCTGAGGCACGACAGAGCATGCAGAACGACTCACCAGAGCCATGTCTCCGGCCTCATCACGGGCACCAGGCTGCTCCGGACCCCACCTGCTTCTTGTCTCTGAGGCAGCCGTCGTTTGAGCCCTGCCTCTTAGCTTTGTGTGCACTTGACATACGCGGGGAAGTGACTACCCATCGTGGCGGCATGGAATGGCCCCTACTTCAGAATCCTGCATTTTGGATATACTCATCCCTTCCTAATAAAACCAAGACCAAACTCACTGCACTGAATCGATTCCGACTCACAGCGACCTTATAGGAGAGGATAGAACTGCCCCTTGGGGGTTTCTGAGACTAACAATAGGAATAAAAAGCCCCATCTTTCTCCCTCGAAGCAGCTGGTCATTTCAAACTGCTGACCTTAAAGTTCACGGCCTAATACTTAACCCCTACACGACCAGGGCTCTTTCCCTTCCCAACAAGGCTAAGCAATAATACAGTGCTAAGTTTCAGGGATAGTACTTCCCTGCCATTAAAACATCGTGTGAAGTGATTTTACGGACCTAGGGAAAGTCTGTGTTAGATATGATTAGGTAGGACAGTGAGTGGTGAATTGTGTATGTCATTTCAGAAAGACCAGGCTTTCTGCGCTCGTAAGGAGTGACAGCCTGGGAAGCCCACGGGGCAGTTGTACCTTGTCTGATAGGCTCTCTATGGGTTGAAATCGAGTGACGTCAGTGAGTTTGAGCGTTGCGGAACACTAAGTTTTGCCCAGACAAGACCTGTATGTAGAACAAGGCACAGAGATTTGAGCAGAACGGGGACGCTCAGGAAAGGTGTACATCATTTTTTATCGTTCTTACTCAATCCGTGTGCTGAGCACGTGACCTGAGAAGCTGAATTGTACGAAGAAGGTGGCGGCAGGGTTGGAGGAAGACGCACCCACACCCTGCCAACGCAGACGACACCACGTTGCTTGCTGAAACCGGGGACTTGAAGCCCTCACTGGTGCAGTACACCTCATACTTAAGACCCGTGCTACCAGGAGAGACGATCCCTGGTGAGGCCATCGTGCTTGGTATCAGGAGAGACGATCCCTGGTGAGGCCATCGTGCTTGGTATCAGGAGAGACGATCCCTGGTGCAGGCCATCGTGCTTGGTCAAGGAGCAGGGAAGAGGAGGACAACTATCAGGACAGGTGATGGATTGACAACAGAGTGTGCCGCAGGGCCTGGTAGTGTTTTGTTCTTTTGTTTAGGGTTGCTGTGAGCCAGGTGGATTCAACAGCACCTAACACGCCCACCCAGCACGGTCTTTGGTCTTTTTAAACGTGTGGGAGAAACCTGAAAGAAAATATGCCGGAATGTAATTGCTTCTACCAGGACCCCTGGTGGTATAGTGGCTATGAGTGGCTGTGATCCCTGTGGTCAGCAGTTCAAAACCACTAGCTGCTCCTCAAGGGAATGTAATTGCTTCTGCATGGTGATGGGTTCTCTTTTAATAGTTCATGGAAGTGGCAGTCAGCAGATCAGAGGACCCATCACATTGGGTAAATATGCACAAGACCTCTTTGAAGTGTCGGAAAGCAAGGAGGTTACTTTAAGGACTAAGATGTGCCTGACCCAAGCCATGGTATTTTCAGTCGCCTTCTATACGTGTGACAGCTGGACATTGAATAAGTAATACCAATGAAGAATTAATGCATTTGAATTGTGGTACTGGCAAAGAATATCAGAAGTACCACGGACTGCCAAAAAAAAAACAAACAAGTCTGTCAGGGAAGAAGTACAGCCAAAATGCTCTTTAGAAACATGGATGCCAAGACTTTGTCTCAAGTACTTTGGGCTTGTTAGCCCAGTACAGGGACATCATTCTTGGTAAAGGAGAGCCCGCAACCAGATGGATGGATGGACACGGGGACTGCAGCAGTGGGCTCCAACCTAAGAATTGTGAGCACAGTGCAGGATCGGGTCATGTTTTGGTCCATTGTACATAGGGTTCATGCACATTTATTATATCACTTTTTAAAAGAAAACACAGTTTTGTTAGGTAGGTCCCACGTGGCTCAAGAAGGGAGAGAGAATTGCCCAGTTTCAGTTCTGTGTGACATCACATTATAAGTAGTCGACATTCGGTATTGAAAGAGTATGGACAAATGAAGTAAGCCAAAATCTGTAAGCAGTTAAATAACCAGTTGCCAAAATGGTAAAAGTTTGTCTGCTTGAGAAGCTATTGTTGGGGTCACACTGAATATGTAACATTGTTGCTTTCTTCTGCCTTAGGTTGCTGCCGTTGATCTTCTGGTCCCTGAAGTTGGGGAGCTCTTTGGAGGAAGCCTCAGAGAGGAACGGTGCCGCTTCCTGGAGCAGCAGCTGGCCAGGTAGTGGTCAGATACGCTTCACAAAGTAGGAATGAGACTCGTTCTCAAAGGTAGTCATAGTAGAACAGCACAGAGCACCTCCTGAGGTTAGCGCTTTGGCACCGGCAGAACAGAATCGTGATTAAATGTGTCCTTGGGAGAGTTTTTACCTACTTGATCTCCTGAGCTCCCCTTCTCAGACGCTGAACTGCTACCAGAAACCAGGCCTCGGCAGTAGTTCCCCACCATTTTCGTATACTTCTCCCTATAGCAAGTTGTCTTTTTAAAAATAATAATAATAAAAGGAGATGAGGGCTGATGGTGCCCGGCTATCAAAAGGTATAGCGGCTGGGGTCTTAAAGGCTTGAAGGTAAACAAGCGGCCATCTAGCTCAGAAGCAACAAAG